TTCACGATATATCCCAGTGGTGCAGAAGTTATTGCAGGGATTAAGCAACTTTGCCGGGTGATTGATTGCTCTGTGCTTGGCGGCGTTAAAACATTTTTGCGTCGAGCCGCCCACGCCGGAGGAGAGAGAGAGAGAGAGAGAGAGAATTATTCGCGAAGATGACGAACCAGAAGATAAAGATGGAGAAAAGGATGCTGGAGATAACTTAAGAGATAGGAGGTATGGCTAGCCTCCCCCTCCGGGCGCCATCTTTTATTTCAGAGCATCCCCCCTGTTTCCCCTATTTCAAAAACTACGGATCCCCTGGATGCTGCGAGAATCCTATGTAAAGTCTCGCTGCATCTTGTACCGCGAGTACCGAAAATCCATGGACCAGCAGAGCCAACTCCGCCGCTGACGACCAGCATCAACGACTGGGATCAGCGCCATGTACCGAACCGTCCAAGGTTCCTCTCGCCAACGATAATTGCTCCGTACACGCGACGATGCAGTTGCATTTTATGACTTTGCGCTGCTGCAGATGCAGCTTCGTGCTACAAAACCTGACAGCTCGCTTCGCCGGATGCGCATCGTTTCAACGGGCCATATCCGACAGGGAGCTTTCAATACTGCCAATACACTGTGTAGAGTCGCGCGCCCTGCTTCCACCGGGATAACGGATCATCATAACTGTCCCGGTAACCGGTCCAATGGTCTATAGACATTAGCGAATCCTGTATACTGGTCGAATGACATCGAGATTATTGAACCGTTCGTTTTACTCAGGTCTAAAAATATAACGTGTGAACCCACCGGCCCACGATTGAATACTCGATGAAGACGGGCCCCGCACGGTTTGAATAATTCATGTCAGAAGAAAAAAAAATAAATAAAACGTACGGTTAACGTGCGACGATCGTTTATTTCACGGGACGCGGCTACCACTTGGCTTTGGCTACTGGATTACATCATTTCTCGGTGATATTTTACGCGATCTTTTTCCTGCCAGAGGCGAATTCTGTGCCTGTTTCAAAACACAAATATCATTTATGTTCGATGGCATCAAAACGTCACAGGAATGGGTATTTGTATATACGCGTATTTGTACATATATGCACGGGCAATTCTACCCTTTTGCAAGAATCCCAAGAATTTTCCAGCAGTCGAGATTTGGCTTTCGCGGTATGTCGGAGTCATTTCGCCAGCAGGGTATCCTGCAGTTGGCAGCCGTTCAAGGGAGCGTTTTCAGGTGGGTGGACAGAGGGTGGGATGGAGTAGACACTGACAAGGAATTTCACACTTATAATTGGATGTGCTATTGCTACGGGCAGTGTACCCTAATGGTAAGTGGAGAAAAGGCGCGAGAAAAATAGCCCATTTTCTTCGGGCATCTACTCTCGGCCACTGGACTAGGGCTACTCGAAGGGGATGAAAAGGCACCCTGTTTCCGGTCTTACCTTTTTTTTTTCCCTATTCTTCTTTCCCTTCCTCTACTATCCACTTGACCACCCCTATGTTTTGCAGCCTCTCTCGAACCTCTCTCTCTCTCTCTATATATATATATATATAGAAAGAGAGTATCGCCTACGAGCATCTATTCTACCAACATTTGTTTTTCCCTTCATCCTGCCAAACTTGGCGCCCGAACGAATTCCCGAGAGTTTATTCTCGCCCGTGACGCTTTCCAGATAAAGGTCCATCGCTCGATTAATGTACTGTGAATTTTCGAGTATATCCACGACCCCGCCCGTTCTCATATCGAAGGGTGCATATAATTTGTATCCGTCGTTCGTACATACGTCATACCCAGATCGAAAGGGAATCACTGTATTTTTAACTTTAAAACAATTTAATTCTCAGCTACACAACGCTCTTTCATCCCTGATTGACGTATCACGTTACATATTAACGCGTTACTCGCATGAACACCTGTGTAAAATACATGGGGATGAATTAGATCCAATAACAATTTGTTTCCCGGTATTTCAAATAATACGTATATATACCTATTATATACGTATCCGAGTACACATTACTGTATACCCATCCCTTGTTCTAACCTCTCATTAGAGCAACCTCGTTATATTGCTCAGCGCCGCGGGACCTTGTATGATTATATTACATTATTGTAATTGATTGAGGCATATAACTTTAGCGTGACTCTTACACAATAAACTCATTAACGAGGAGAGAAGGGATTGCCGCACGGCAAGATGCAAGGGGAATAATAACCGATATCCTACGGTGCGTCTCACAGGCCGGAAGCCCGAACGTTCCAGCTTCATCGGGCATCGACTTTCTTCTTCTGATCGAGCAGCACGTGGTACGATCGAATCGCAAAGCTCGTCAGCCCCGGAGCGAGCTCAGCCGGACCCAGGGATCGCAGAATGCTTTCCATTTACTCGCAACAACAAATCATCCTTCCTAGAGAGGGAGCATCGAACCCGAACCAGTTTCCCCTTACCGAACTGCCAGCTGAAGTTTTATTTCCGGAGCGCAAACTAGGTCCACGTCAAATTCGAAACGTAGAATCGAATAACCTCAAGATAAGCCAACTTATCGTCGACACTATAAATACTTAATAACCACAATTGTGCCTGCCACTAAAGAGCATTCCTTGCTGAGGTATTTTCACCCTTAAAATTTTCTTTGCCTTCTACGGCCCCGAGGAGTACCGAACTAATTTCATGGGTGAACGAAAAAACGAACGAGACGGAGATGGGGAGCACAAAAGAACGTGGCGAGGGAGCGGAGGTAGAAACAAGGTGGATGAAAAGAAAAGGCAGGGGGACCAGGTAGAAAAAGAAACAGGCAGTTCTGGAAGTGTGCGGCATGCCCTGTTGCCAGGGGAAGAAACAGTTAACGTAGAGCTGCCTCGGTGAAGTCCTACGGAGTCGGTCTTGTCAAGCAGATTGCATATAAGAAATGCCGTTCCCATAGAATGTTAATGTGATCTTCTCTTGGCTGTAGGCCCCCGTAAGTCCCTGCGCAACCCTCTCTCTTTCTCTCACGTAGCTACCGTTCACGGAGACACGCAGCCAGCTTGACTCTCTTACGCACGCATTGTTACGTAACGTCCCCCCGTGATTATTTCCTCACGTGAATTTCGTGACTCCGTCCGACCTTTCCCTGCGCCGGGAACCACCGTGACAGAGGCGAATGTCATGCAGCGGAGTCTTCAAGGGTTTTTTTTTTCTTCTTCTTTTTCCTTCACCCGGGATCTCTTCCGTTTCCTGAACTTGAACCGTCCTGACTTGGCCACGAAGCAACCGCCGGAATACGTAAGAAGATTCGAGACCAGGCTACTTTTAATGCCTTTTCCGCTTGCAGTCAACCTCTTAACCTCCTCGGGTCAAAGTCGGCTATGCAAGGGTCATTATAAGAGCGCAGTCGGTAAAGACCTTTCACTTTGGACCGGCGCGGCTGGTACTCGCACGCTCGCGAGATTTCCCTGCCTCTCGGAATACAAACAGGAACACGGAACGCGAGATTACGAAATTACGGAACGAAGGTTGCAGCTGGCTAATACCTACTCGTAAAATGGTATTTGTACCTCTGGATATATTCTACGTAGATTGACGAGCGATTTTGTTGTTACCGCTCGCGTAGCCTTCGTACTGAAACGGACTGTAGCATTGCAAATATATACTACTTCATCTCAGATTTGCTATAGGACATGTACGTGTAGCAGTACGCGTCGCGATTTCAAAGTTCATGACCGAATGACGTAGATTTCATTAGTGCAAAAGTACGCGATTAGTATACCGCTATCGATAACACGAATTGATAAGGACTTTTGTATAATTTTGCAATTCTAAGGATCTTGTGAGATTCGTGCGAAATCTTGGTCAAATATATTTTCGAATTGTCAAACTGGTAAAGATACGCGAGACTTTTTGAAGAATTAAGCTAATCCTCGCGGACCGTGTTGTAGATGAACTTTATCATTTGGATGCTGCGTTAAATTGCTATGAATTACCGTGTCGAGCGTGGGACCGCGGTGACTGAAATAATCCACGACGAGACGCTCTAACGAATCTTATAAAGCAGACCAATTAGCCTTTAATATAATTAGAGAAAAGTAACCGCTCCTATCGTTATTCTTTATCTCGTTCAGAAAAAAAAAAAGGAGCATAACGCATACACGCATCGCGAGTTACATACGAAAAGACACGACCTACTCATTAGGCCTGGAATTGCTAAGGTAAACGCATAAACCCCATATGACACGGAACTATATTACAAGCGCTCGTAAAGCACATCCTGATACGCATAATCGCGTACAGTTACGCACGGTTACACCGAGTGTCCAATAAAATAAGTTTTGCGTAGAAGCGTAAGAGGGTAAGTTAGGAACGATGAACATTTTTGAAAAAAAAAAAAAAAAAAAAAAAACTATATTACAAGCGCTCGTAAAGCACATCCTGATACGCATAATCGCGTACAGTTACGCACGGTTACACCGAGTGTCCAATAAAATAAGTTTTGCGTAGAAGCGTAAGAGGGTAAGTTAGGAACGATGAACATTTTTAAAAAAAAAAAAAAAAAAAAAACCATTCTCGATACCAATAAAAATTCAAGCATTCGTCCCTTAAAAAATATCTCGCAACCCCCTTTTTGCCGAACTGCCCCTCGTTTCGCTGGAAACACCACAAAGAAGTAAATTCTTGCCGACTGAGCACGCGCCGTCTCCATTTGCTTCTTTTCAATTCCCATTTTCGTGCCTTTCCTTACCTATACGTAACTACTAACAACATAAATAGCAAATTAACACACGACTGAAGTTAACTTTGCCCAAGACGACTGAGTACCGGTAGACGAGTTTTCCGTACACCTCGAATCCAATAACTGGGAACAGCATGTTAGCATGCATTCCAGCATCCCGCGACATACGAGAGGAAAGTCTCATCTAGTCGTCGTACGAGTCCTCGTAAGAAATGCCATAGCACGTGACACGCGACCCGTGAGGAGTCGTAAAATCGAAAGAAAAATTATGAAAAAAAATAAAGTGCCAAACTCACCGGCAAAGAAATTCACGTTCCCCTAAGCAAAGCTCCAAGCAGTGTTGACGGGATGACGCGCTGACCATCCTCTTGGTGTGACCCTGAAGTCGATGTCCTTGCACCCTGTCGATGCACCAGGCCCGCTCGCAGGGTTTCACTCCCAGGCAACTCTTTTGGGCGTATATCGTAAAGACCGGAAATTGGGATTGCGAGAGGGCACCTGTAACAACAGACCAAACAAGACATTCAGCAATACGATCCTTTGTGATCCTCCACCGTTTCCTTCTGCCTCGTCCTTCTTGGCTCTTTCGTCTCTGATTAACGTTTGCTAATTAAACAGGCACGAGACAGGAACCTTTGAATGTCTCCCACGGTAACGGTACTGTACCTCGTTATTTTCAATGTAAACTGCTTTATACATCCTTAACTATTTCTATCCTGGTTCCGCAGTCCTTTCGTGTCAGGGAATCTTTTGGAATTGAAACTACTCTCTGCCTTCTGGATGGCAGTCACTCGCTGAAAAGTTCTCTCGTGAGGAATACGATGGTACTGAACAAAAGAGGCATCCATCCGGTCTGGTAATATAGCTAGTGAGTCAATAACGTTTTGATATGTCACGTGAAATTATTTGTTTGCACGGACTGACGAGGCTTTGCAATGTTATATATGGTTGGTTATTATATCAGTATATACATATATATATATATATATATATATATATATAATGGAAAAAAAAACAATAAAAATATACTTGAAAATGTTTGAGCTGGGTATAATATTTGTATAGGGTGTTCAAATCGTACTTTCAGGACATTCACGTACTTTCAGACATTCAAAGTATTGCTGTATGCTTAGCCTGATAATAGGTAACCCTGTTACCGAGGATAATAGAGCATTACAGATCCTAAGCACTTTCCAAGCCCAGAAGCAACTTCATTGAAAGAGTTAAACTTCTTACTCGGCTGCAAGGAAAGTTCTACTATGTCACGAGAATATTTATGATCCGTGAAACTGACTCTATGGCTCACACAAGCGTGGCCCTGCGTGAAAGTCGAGCATCGGACGATTCCTATTAAATTGAAACATGATTTACGGTCCACGAATTGCTCAACCGTTTAATATATAAAATACCGTGTAACGAGCAATTAACGACCGTGAATTTTCATCCCAATCTGTCCGACTGAATAGAACTGTACGCCCTTTTGATAAAATTTGTCGGAATTTTTCACACGATAAATTAACATTACCTAAAAACCCTAATTGAGACATTCACACGTGTTCACATTGATAATAGACACCCTATACTACACCCTTAAAAAATATCCCCACAGGATACAATATAAACCAAAGTTCGACAAAGCATTCCGAACTTTTATTACCCTATTATCTGTTGCAAGGTGCGACCTTTACGACTCCACGTGGAATTTCTTTATGTCGTATCACATGAGCCCATGCCAACTGCACCCACTGAATGATTCCATGAAGCAAGGACCGCCTCTTCCCTTTTTATATATCACCCGCCTTTTTCTCCACTCATTTTTCCCACGACGTACCCTTTCGACCAGAAGCGCAAACAAACCCGCACCAGGTATCCAGATAAGACAAAAATCTCTTTCACCGCAGATAAGAGCCTATGCAATAACCCTTAATGGTATATCTTGGTAAAAATAAAGAAATAAAAAAAAAGTCATAAAAACCACCAGCAAGCATCGACCACGATGACCAATAGTTTCGGGACCCCAAACGTATGCAATATGATTTCTGTAGCTGCCATCGACGAATGCCCGTGGCTGCGGGTTTGGACTAAGGTATCGTAGAGGAAAACGATGTAACCATTATATCAAATGATGAACGTAAAATTACTGCTATATACGCGGAATACTTCAGTTTCTGATGTACGAGGCACATTTAGATCCCGTTCAGGTTCAAGTGGCATCGGAACGGCTCGATGCTGGATTCTTCCCCGTGGAAAGGCTTGATGGATAATCGTGATTGTAAGTCTCTGTATCTATACAGCATATCCGTCTCTCTTTCTCTCTCTGACTCACATTCAACCAGTACCCTGTCTATCCATCCCTCTTGCTCTCTCACTCCCACTCCAAACGATATACGGAACAAAAGCAATAAAATTCTTTCCCGATGAGACGATGTAGATCGTATAGCTTGGACCAACGACGTTCTCTGTCTGTATCTCATAAGATACAATGCTCGGAGTGGTTACCAGTGCTGCTCGCGTATATCATTGCGCAATATGCCGCATAATTGCGGGTGGTCGTTACGCCAAGTCAACGTGCCATGTAAACTTGGATCTTTTTATACGAAAGGATCTAATACATATCCCGTAATCGGTTCGGTATCAATTAGCTATAATTATTGTATCGTTATCGAAACGTACGAGTCGTCGTACTGTAGAAATTATCGGGATAAGAAACTTCATTAGGGTACTTATTGGTAGTTGGAAAAAAAAAAATTGGCGGAAATCGGTACGCGAGGGTTCTCTAACGACCTGGAAAAATAACGAGAGTTTACGGGGCCCTGAGTTAGGGATGATGGCGCACGTGCCGGATGCCGCGTTCTCAACTATCGCTGGGAGCCTGTGACGCGGGAAAGGGTTATCCCTGCAGTCGCGGATCGTACGAGCGGCCGTATAAAGGAGGTAGAAAGAAAGGGAATGGAAAAAGTCGTAGAATGCAGTTAATGGCGTAAGAGTCTTCCATGGCTAATAGGGGGGACTGGCGTGCGCCAGGCCCTTTTTTCGTTGGGAGTCACCGAGGCTGAATATGTTGGACGCCTTTCGATATTATCGATAAGACCAGTTTAGCATGTGCACGAAGCTTGAATAAGAAGTGTGTTGAATCTGTGCCAACATTTTCAATCGCTCTTTGCACTCGCAGGCAAATTTTTCCCGTCTTATTTTTTTTTTTTCTTTCCTTTTTCTTTTCCCCCTTATCTGCTCCCCACCTCGTACCGAATACGCCCGTAGGCACCCATTGGAATTTCTGGAATTGAATATATTCCTGCCTTCAACGTTGCTGGATGGTCACGCTCCGATTTTTTAATTCTCTACGCGACGATTCGAAAAGAGCCTCGCGTTTCGCACAATGAAACTTTGCCTGAGCGAATATCGACACGTGGGTTTCGATTTTTAAAGTAAGCGAAGGGGACGAGGAAGGCAAGAAAAGAACTGAATTTGCGTAACAAAGGTTCGAACGCGCAAAGGCATACGGTATTTCTCTTTTCTCTACTACGCGTTTGCTGAAAGCAAACGAAATATGTGTACAAATTTTTCTTCCTCTTTTCTTTTATTACGGAAATATTAATTTCGACTAAAATTCGCCTACTGACTGACGTCGCACGCCAATCTCGCTTTTATTTTTTTTTTTTAAACCCAGTCTGTTTATGTATATAAATACATATCGCGCATATATATATATATATATATATATATATATATATATATATGTCCTGCTCTATGGTATGTTTCTAATTTGCGTGCACTCACTGCAAGAATTTAATTCTCAAAACTGCACCCAGCGTGCCTTCGCGCTCGTGTCCGACACGAGGAATTGTAGAGGCATGCTCGCTGTAGACCGACACACGAAGACCATCCGATAATGTAATTACTTTTGATGGTTCTCGGCCGAGCGGCAGCCATTCGTACTTCGTAGATTGAAAGCGTACACGTGGCCCGGGTACAATTGAATATTTTGATGCTGCAGACAATATCTCGGGCCGGGCCACCTACACTCGTACGTCCGACACGCCGAATTACACGGTTACGTGCATCACTAACGCGAAGACAATACACGTCCGACACGAGCTACCAGTATCGATGCCCGCTGGTCATTCTTCGTTCCACTATCACTCTCAATACGGCCATCTACACTTTTTTCATCTTCTTTGTGACCCTCGTATCCTCACCTGCCATTACCCACAGTAGCCTCCCTCCCCTCTCGATCCTGAATGAACCATCTCGGAGCCACGCATTTAATTTTCATCGTGCTCCCTAAGCTAAGCACGCACTGTCACTTTATGACAGACAAGCCCACGAGCCATGCACTAGCAGAATTCATTTTCAATGATTTCAAGTCGTTGTATATATCTATAGATTACCATAATGCTATCCAGCCGTATGTCACGATACTTGGTTCCTGAACGCACTGCCAGTTCGATTCGGTAACGGGAAATAATTTCTTGTCGTGCGCGACCTGTTTGTCTCGCGTCTGTTTCTTGTGCCCGAACAAGTTTTCGAGTACGGAGCAGCGTGGCGAGTTAGCCACTGGCCGGAAATTCGTATTGAGCGGTTAGGATTTGGTAAAGGCCCTGTCCCGATGTATGAGCCGGGCAAACTTGCCAGAGTTAATCCGGATCGTTGGGAAGAATTAAGCCCGGGCGTTTTAGCCACCCCTCGCGTAACTTCGTCCCGGAGAAGCGGGACTGGAAAAAGTGAGTGGCGGTAAGTGAGTTAAAGAGGAAGAATCGAAGGGAATGAAAACGGCCTCTTCCGTATGCTTTTGCTACCAGGTATTGGCGCGCTTGGTAAAACGGTCCGGATTTCAGATTAAATCCGTCTGGCTGCCTCTGTCGTTCCGTTGATTACTCGTTTTTCTGCTTGTACAGTTATATAGGAATCTATTAACCCAGCTTTATGGAAATTCATGCGTCATCGGTCGAGTCCGGTTCCCTATAAATTACACTGGACCCGAATGATCTGATCGGTATTCATGCATGGAATAAATATATATGTATATCCGCGCGCGCACGTATTAGAAATGTTAAAAAATTCTTTTTTAATAGCCTCCTTTTTATCGCTCGCCGTTCCCGTACCGAGTCATTGCTACTACATTATTTCCCACGAGTGTCTCGAATCGGCACGGTGTATTCGTATTCAATGCCGCCTTCATAGTCCGACACGTAATGTCTGTGCGGTACGGAATACGCTAAAGAAACGCGGGCTTCTCCCTATAACGCTAAGTGGATTAAACTACCTATACAAAAGCTCGTTCGTTCTCTCGGGCCAGTGAGCTCGCTTGCTCGATCGCTGACTGGGACGGCCATGTGTGAAATTGACTCGTGAATTATGTGTAATTTGTCACACCAGCCTGCCGCCATGTAGCCGCGACTTCGCGGTTATCTCGATGACTGCTCTCGGCAAGGTCGCCGAGATATATCTCCTAGGTATATCTCCTATAGTATATACCTAGTCCAATTTTTATTCCC